AAGGTTAATATTCATATCTCCTACTAAGACTACATCCTGCGCATTTCTTAAAGTAGGATCAGACCTAATTTTTGAAAAAATTTCTCTTATTGTTTGATTAAAATATTTCACGTCTGCATACGGAGCAGTGTTAGGCCTGTAAATGTTACCTACAACTGTATATTTATTCTTCCCATTTTTAATCTTTATAAATTGTGATTCAAAAACGCGAGGTAAGAAGATAGAAATTGAATTAATCGGTTCAAAACAAAGTGATTTCTCAACCCAGAGTCCTACTCCTCCCCCTGCATTACTATTTAGCCCCTGTTTATCTCTTACAGTAAAATGAAGTGGGTGATAATCAGTTAAATCAAATGAAAGATTTGCAGGTTTATTCCAAATTTCCTGAAGAGCAATTACAGATGGTTTAAATTTTCCCAGGGTTGAGGCTAAAAATGTTTGAAACTCATTAAATTTTCCAGGGAGAGATTGGATATTCAAAGACAAAATACTAAATCTGCTCTGTTGAAATACTATTAAATTTTTTGTTAATCTCATCTTCATCATAGTATTGACAATTATGAATATTATTTTCATAAACCGAATCTTTAAAATTGTATTGCAAACTTATATTTTTTGAAGAAATAGGAATTTACTGCTTTTTGTTCAATTTTAAGGGGGGCCGAAATTATGCCCCCACCCTACCCTGAGATATTGGTTTTGTCCTCCCCTGAATCAGACAAAGCTTTTAAGGGTACCCTTTTGAATCGGTCACTTGAAATTACGCAATAACAGTCCCTTTAAAAGTAATGAGTAGAGTTTTCATTTTGAATTTAAAGCGGGGGCGGGGGAAGGCAAAAAGCAGTGGAAACATTCGTAATGGAATGATCGAAAACCGTAATCGCCCTTATATCCCATATATTAATTTAATATAATGGTATGCTGGGTGGAATCAGTGGAATAAATTTTGCATCTAATCACAACAAGATTTTATTCTTGGATTCAGAAGAACTGGTCAATTCCTTCAACTCAGGATCAGGATCTTAATTTATAATTTATAATGTCTTAAAGGAATTGAGTTCTTGCAACAAACTCTATTTTCTAATCCCATATTTTTGCAACCCGAGGCCGAAATTAACGAAAGCATGTGGTTAGACTTGGTTCCACTTGAAATTGTATTCAGTGTTTCAAGATTAGAGCCGGAGCTCAATTGGAACCGGTTTTTGGAGGTCAGCAACGTGGTTTAAATTCTTTAAATTCAGCCTCCGGTGTCGTAGACCTTTGATATTTCAAAATATGAATTTTGTTAGATCAAAAAGTTTAACTTTTAAATATCAAATGTTTATAGCATGAGGATGGAACGATATGGGAATTAGAAAATTTGTGGCAACAACTCTGTTCCTTTAGGATCTAACAGAAAATAATGAATTCACCAATTTAAAGTTTGTTTCAATTACAGCTGGGGGATTATTGGTTTTTTTTTTCCGTGTAAACGGATAAACTTTTGCTTGTTAATGGACTTATCACAGAATCTTGATTTTTTTTAATAAAACAGCAAAATAACCAATCCAACTTAAGTTTTAAGTTTGTATTTTTCTTGTTTCCTAAGGCTCTCTCCTGATTGTTAAAACTTGAGCTATATGTTTTTATTAATAAATAACAATTATAATATTAATTTATGTTTGGAAGTATTTGTTGTTGTAGTTGCTGTAGTTGCTGTTGTTGTAGTTGCTGTAGTTGTTGTTGTTGTATCTCTTGTTTTTGTCGAAACAAACTAAAAAATCCTTTCTCACAAACTTTCCGCGGAATTTTCACCTCGATCTAATAAAAAATTTACAAATAATTTTAGGTTTTCTTAAAGTTTGGAAATTCCATATATAAACAACAAGATTTCTTCTTCAATCTTCATCTAATACACTACCGCGAGGTAATAGAGTTATATCTATAATGTAAAGCCAAAGAGAATATATATTAGAGTGGAATTTACTAGAAAAAAGTGTAAAACGGCCATTTTGTTGTACTGTTTCCATACTGCAGGCGTACTTCACATATTTGTGCTATATAACCTTTTGGGCCCTGGAACATCATTTTATAGAAAATCTAAAATTAAAATTAAAAGAAAACCAAATCATGAAATAGGCTTGTTTCATAATTACCAATGATCATTTTACATAGACTCTATGCCTTTCACTCTACAAACGATGATTTTCCGTTATAACTATAAATCAAATGATGTTTTTTATTCACCTAGTTAATTTTATAAAGTTTATTTATAGCAGCTTTAAAAAATTCGAAATTGAAATGGTTAGTCTAGGGAACATACTGTATTAATGTACTCTACTGCATATAATTTGTGAACATTTACATGATTTGTTCACTTTGAACTCCCTTTCAGGCTGAAAGGGACTTACAAAATTCATACCGAGGGATTGTCTAAATTCCACTCTAATATATATTCTATTCTCTTTGTATAAAGCTATTCTTCGCTCATCTATAATATATATAAAGTTTTAATCTCTGTTTGTCTGTTGTTTGTCCGATCATAACTGATAAACCTCTAGACTCATTTGCCTCAAACTTATATTTGGGGAACTCGGGAGAACCACGGGAATGTCTTTAGCTTGATTTAGAGATTCTAAGTTGAGCGGGTCGACTTTTATATAGAAAAATTGCTAAAATCCTAATTTACGACAAAGCGTGGATAAACGGTGTGACGAACTATGACTACCCATGGGCAACGCTGAGTTCCACAGGCGCTAGTATATATATTTACGTATGTATATATGTTACAGTTTTTTCTTCGAAAATTTTCTTTTTTCAAAATTTTATTTTTTCATTTTCCGGGCAACACTAGGCATTTCAACCAGTATTTAATAATTTGCCTTAGATATCAAGATTAAGCTTCAAGATAAACGAGATCACAATAGTTCCGATCGCAGATCACATCTTAGAACCAAGTTTGGTGAAATTTTGGAAATCGTTGCATATTTGTAATAGAACGGCCTTTGTTAAAGAAAACATCAAGATTATTTCATCTCGTTTAAGAATTTCCATTATTACATTTTTCTTCATAAAATTATCATATTCTTTATTAAGGAAAAATACAAAACCCTCGATGCGAGGTGTTTCTAATTAAAAGACTTGAAAAAGGCCGCTCTTATTCCGCATCATACTGTTTATCACTGTATCCTGATAATACCTGATCTGGAACTTCAATATCTCTGATATGACAAACTGTTATCTCCTTCTCCTCACATACCTTCTCAGGGTACTTCTAAACATATAGATTATGGAACCTTCTCAGATACTTCTAAACAAATAGAACCTTCTCAGGGTACTTCTAAACAAATAGAACCTTCTCAGGGTACTTCTAAACATATAGAACCTTCTCAGGGTACTTCTAAACATATAGAACCTTCTCAGGGTACTTCTAAACAAATATGAACCATCTCAGGGTACTTCTAAACATATAGAACCTTCTCAAGATACTTCTAACCATATAGAACCTTCTCAGGGTACTTCTAAACATATAGAACCTCCTTGGGGTACTTCTAAACAAATAGAACCTTCTCAGGGTACTTTTAAACATATAGAACCTTCTCAGGTTACTTTTAAACATATAGAACCTTCTCAGGTTACTTTTAAACATATAGAACCTTCTCAGGGTACTTTTAAACATATAGAACCTTCTCAGGTTACTTTTAAACATATAGAACCTTCTCAGGTTACTTTTAAACATATAGAACCTTCTCAGGGTACTTTTAAACATAAAGAACCTTCTCAGGTTACTTTTTAACATATTGAACCTTCTCTTCTGAACATATGGAACCTTGTAAGGGTACTTCTAAACATACAGACCCTTCTTGCGTCTTCTAAACATACAAAATCTATCTCATGGTGATAAACTTAGAACCTTCTCAAGGTACTTTTGAGCGCAAAGAGCCTTCTCAGAATAATCTAAATGTTATTCAGCGTAACACAAAATGTACGTACTACGTACCGTATGTAATTCAACAGGATGTGTACTGCAATGCTTGGTTGGAATAGATTCACACTTAACCTTAACAAGAATTAAAAACTAAAATTAAAAATCAGGACTTAGGCAGTTAGTATAGGAGCCTTAGACCAATTCTTTTTGAGGGGTGGGGGAGTCAAATTGACCCCCCCCCCTCCCCAGCAGAAATATGGTTAAGTTATTTAAAATAAAGTTTTCGCTAATCTTTCTTTTTAGTTTACCATCAGTGGTTTACGATAATTTACCATGAACAAATTCATTCCTTTAAAAAACTGGTTTTTGGTATGCAACAATTTTCATTTAATCCCGCCCCTTTTAATGATAATAATAGATAATAAAAATAATTTGTCATTTTTTACAAAGTAATGTTTTTTACTCTCAGACGAATTAGATTCAATGAATCCCTTGGGGGTTTAAATTTCCATGGATTCTAATTTGTCTTAGAGTAAACGATACATTCATGAATGAGGAATGAAAAGAACTAATTGTTTTATTTTCTAGGAAAATTGACAGCCAAAGGAGTTTTCTCAGTCATGGTGCCTTCCGGATATTTGTCTTCTTCAGATATCATGATTCTCTTATAGATGGGTCAACGTTTTACCTGAGGTTTATCAAAACAATATTCATGTTCTACAGTTTCACAGTCCTCGTACGGTACACTGTAACACTTCTCACGTGGTACATTCCGGCATTCCTGTACAGTACTGTGCATAGCGTACAAAAAACATTTTCATTGAACAAAAAGAATATTAGTAATTGAGCTTGCAAAAAATAATCTTTAAAAATGTATGCAGTTTTGATGTGCAATTCTAACAGTAATTTTTTACACTCTGATTTTAAAAGCATTACTAAAAATCTACAGCTGTACACTGTACATACATACCTGTCTTGAGTATGGTGTACATGTCTCAACTGGTGTTTCTTCACATGTACGGTTTGGTGTGTCTGTACATTCCTGTCTCTCTTATACGTACATTGATAATCAGTACATATGAGAGTTTGTTTATAATTATGTTGTATGAATATCTTTAGCTCTTCGAATTTGGTTTTACAATTGTTTTAGACACTAACAAAAGTATTAAAATTATATGCTCATCTAAATGTATCAAAACATTCTTAAAATTTCATCGAACTAATAATTTTTTTTTCAATTTTACATGAAGAAAAAATCGAGATATTAAATTTACCTTTGATATAACAATTTTCTCTAGGATACACTTCGCACTTTTCTCTAAAATAAGAAGAGATCAAGGGCGTTTACATGATTTAATGTAAATAATTTAGGATTTTGGATTGATCTTCATTATATGCAAACCTAGCTACGTATGGATTTTTTATTTCTTTGAAATCATATGGATAATTCTAATTGAGGGATCCAGCATTGATCCTTATTTTAAAAGTACATACATTGGATAGCAAGATCAACAACTACTGTCAAGATTAACAATATCCACACTAAGTTCCAATCTCTTGGGTTTGTTGACTTTTTTCTCTTGAGCCCCGGTTCAAGTTCAAGAGAAGTAGTTCAACTACGTTGTTGAACCATTTCTTGCTATTTATTTAGGTCCTTGGTTACTATACCTAGGTTCGCACTTATTCGACTCCTCTGACTGATATCCCTCATCTTCACATTCCTTCTCTTCACTACACTTCTCCTCGTAAACCGTCTCACATACCTCATCTTCTAAAGAGACATACAGGGTGATCCGCAAAAATTCAGAGCTCAATGACGACATGAAAACTTATAAATGTTATTCTGTAAATTTCAAGAAAATTGTGTGGACTGAAAAAAAATAAGTAAATAGGTCAAACGAACCATAAATTTCAGGGGACATTAGTTCCAAAACTAACTCTTGACTCATTTCTAACACTGAGTGTGTTAGGTTTAGGACTAATTTCCCCTGCATTTAATGAATAAGACTGATTTAACCCTTTCAAAAATATATATAAATATAAAAGTCGAAAATGTAGGAGTCATTTATTTCAAAAATTTAAACTAATGAAATCATCTTGCCTTGAGTTTGGCACTCAGTGTGAATACTTGTCTCACACTCCTGGTTGTAATGTGTTGTACATTCCTCATCCCAGATCTCCACACATTCATCCTCATATACTAGTTCACATTCATCCTTAATAGAAGTATTCATTCCTCATCCTGGACCTATTCACATTCATCCTCATATACTAGTTCACATTCATCCTTAATAGAAGTATTCATTCCTCATCCTAGACCTCTACACATTCATCCTCATATACTATTTCACATTCATCCTTATTAGTACATTCCTCATACTAGACCTTTACAGTCCACACATTCATTCTCATATATTAGTTCACATTCATGCTTAATAGAAGTATTCATTCCTCATCCTGGACCTCTACACATTCATCCTCATATACTAGTTTACATTTATCCTTATTAGTACATTCCTCATACTAGACCTTTACAGTCCACACATTCATTCTCATATATTAGTTCACATTCATCCTTAATAGAAGTATTCATTCCTCATCCTAGATGTCCACACATTCATCCTCATATACTAGTTCACGTTTATCCTTAATAGAAGTATTCATTCCTCATCCTAGACCTCAACACATTCATCCTGATATACTAGTTCACGTTTATCCTTAATAGAAGTATTCATTCCTCATCCCAGATCTCTACACATTCATCCTCATATACTAGTTCACGTTTATCCTTAATAGAAGTATTCATTCCTCACCCCAGATCTCTACACATTTATCCTCATATACTAGTTCACGTTTATCCTTAATAGAAGTATTCATTCCTCATCCTAGACCTCAACACATTCATCCATAATAGAAGTATTCATTCCTCATCCTAGACCTCTACACATTCATCCTCATATACTAGTTCACATTCATCCTTAATAGAAGTATTCATTCCTCATCCTAGATCTCTACACATTCATCCTCATATACTAGTTCACATTCATCCATAATAGAAGTATTCATTCCTCATCCTAGATCTCCACACATTCATCCTCATATACTAGTTCACATTATATTGTCTATAGGATTACAAAAAAGTATAGTGGTTAGAAGAGTCTGGTAAAATCTAGCCAATGCAAGTAAAATTATAACAAACCTTTTCTAGAGTTCTGCAAATCTCATCTAAACATTTTATTCAAATTAAAAAAAAAATTAAAAATGTGTAATCCAACCTTTTAACAAAAAAAACTCCATTTTAAACAAAAATCTGTATTACAACTATTGGGTTGAAATGTTAAAATTAAAAAAAGAATCTACACTAAAAAAATTCAACATTTTTTAAAGAAAAAAAAATAGAAAAATAGTACTTTAACCTTTACCAATCAAAATCCCACAAGAAAATCTAACAAATTATGAAAATGTACATAAATAGTTTTCCTTGTACAGTTTCACACTTTGATTCGGAATACGTACTGCAGGAATCACTGTATATTGTTTCACAAATCTCTTCTGTAAAAAAAATTATTTAACTTAATTTTAATAACTGTTAACTAATAATAATTTAATAACTAAAATAACTGTTAGTTTTACATCTTTATCGATAGGTTGAGTCAGACTTCAACCTATTTTAAATTGATGCTCATAAGTCATAACCCTAGAAGTTACCCTAGAAGTTACCCTAGAAGTTACCCTAGAAGTTACCCTAGAAGTTACCCTAGAAGTTACCCTAGATGCTCATAAAATTCATTTGGTGTACCGTCCCGTTTTGCCTTAAATAGTTTGTATGGTACTGTACAACTTGCTCTAATTAAATAGTTTGTGTGTGTACTGTACAGCTTGCTCTAATTAAATAGTTTGTGTGTGTACTGTACAGCTTGCTCTAGTTAAATAGTTTGTATGGTACTGTACAGCTTGCTCTAGTTAAATAGTTTGTATGGTACCGTTCAGCTTGCTCTAGTTAAATAGTTTGTATGGTACTGTACAGCTTGCTCTAGTTAAATAGTTTGTATTGTACTGTACAGCTTGCTCTAATTAAATAGTTTGTATTGTACTGTACAGCTTGCTTTAATTAAATAGTTTGTATTGTACTGTACAGCTTGCTCTAATTTAAAGTCGGCCCGGGACTTGAAATCAACTGAAGTTCACAGTTTTAAGCATAGAGTAATAATTATACAGATAGATTACTATTTATCGGCTTTTCAAGATTTAGGGGTTTTTCGTTCACAATAACCCTCAGGCAGAAGCCCAAAGGAGTTACGCACATGAACTCTCTCTCTGTCTTGTCATTCAACGCAGTATGCGCGTTACTTCCTTGGGCCTCAGGGTTATTGTAAACGAAAAATCCCTTAAATCTTAAAAGGACGACATATAGAGTTCCATCTGTATTATTATTAATCTATGGCGAAAAGACTCTAAATTTTGGGATTACAGATTAGCAACACAGCTAGGTTTATCTTACCGCTCTAAGATGTTCCTTAAAAGATCGAAAATTTCTGATCTCAATAATTGATGAAAGTTGTTTAAGTGTAAAGATGACCATGCAAAACAGAAAACAACCTTGGATATTTACCATATCTGATTTCCTTCTTATCAAAGTTCTGGATATGGCAATCTGGTTCATACTCAGTCTTACAGTTCTCCTCCTATACAGAGGGAACCATACAGTTGTGGAATAGGAAGACGATTGTTTTGATTTTATATACAGAGTGTCCCACATCATATTAAAATTTAGCCCTAAATTGCGATTTTCGGAACTAAAAAAAATTCAAAAGAATGAATCATTTCAAAAAATTGTATAAAAATTTGCAATAGTATGTGGAGTATGTGTGTATTTTGGCGTTAAAGCTTGGAGATAATTCAATATGATATGAGATACTCTGTAGTACATACATTGTACATGAAATACATGAATTGTGTGAGGTGTACATAGATGCATGATACAGACCGATTCCATGTAACAACTTGATTTGTAAGCTAAAGGTAAGACTACATTTGCTTAAAAATACATAAGATTGCTTAAATGTCGTCTTCCTCGTCCACAGTTTTTTAATAATACAATATTTATAACAGTATCCACAACAATATAACTACCTGTTCAATATTTATAACAGTATCCACAACAATATAACTACCTGTTCAATATTTATAGCAGTATTCACAACAATATAACTACCTGTTCCATATTTATAACAGTATCCACAACAATATAACTACCTGTTCAATATTTATAACAGTATCCACAACAATATAACTACCTGTTCAATATTTATAACAGTATCCNTTTATAATTCTAATTTTTAATTCTAATTTATGATTCCAATTTATTATTCCAATTTAAAATTCTAATTTCAAATTTTATCTTATAATTTATGATTTTTTTAAACAATCTATTTATTCTAATTTCTGATTTCTAATTTATGATCAAAGACGACCGTCAATTTCCCATTTTTTTACCTGGAAATGACGAGACCAAAACTTGCAGGTAAATAATTACATTGATAAACAGAGAACAAGATACACTCATTGTTATTTTATATTCTAATAAAATATTACAAAATAAATAAAATAATTATTTTGGTTTGCAGTGTGTAAGAGGGGGCCGCCATGATCCCCGCAAAATTGTCTCCAATCCTCCGTATTCGCAGATGAGTATAATTTAAATATTATTAGTAAATATTGTAGAAAATCAATAAATAGCATTTTAGAAAAAGTATGTGTAATATTTTAATAGTTATGCGGGGCACAATGGCGTCCCCGCACCTGGCACCTCCCCCCTGACAATGTGCCATGTATTTTTTGGACTACATTGGGACAGACCGGCTATGTAAGGTAGTTGAACTGAGTATGCAGTGTTGTGGACAAATTCTTCATGATTCATTTGAGACATATAGAACTTTTTGAAGATCCGTAAATCTTGAGTTTAAGCGCAAAGTTGATGTTCAAAGTTGTACTTTTGTGTGGATACGTTTTCAAGATTGTTTTTTTTAATTATTAAATAACGACGACAAAAAATGTAAACAAAAATCTACAGTAAACTAATTAGCTGTTTAGGAACAGGTTAAAAAAATATCTTGTTATCGAATGATTTTCTGGAATTGCTATTGAAAAGACGAAATTTGAAGAATTTGTAGAAATCTGCGAATAAATTTCTAGAAAATAAGAAATTCAATATAATGATAAAAACAGAATAATTAATTCTAGAATTGATTTCTTGACAAAAAAAAATAGTGCGAAATCTTAAAAAATGTGGCTGTAATTAATTCCAATTTACCGGTTTCAACCAAACCCTGTCAAAATGGAATATATACTAATAATTCTACATATTTTGCCTGATTTCAAATTTTTTTTTGCATTAGTTAGGTATTGCATAGTTTGACCTCCTCAATTAGAAATTAGTGCTAAATCTTCAAAGATGAGGCCCTAATTAGTATATGTTCCAATTTAACGGTTTTAACTGAACCTTGTAAAAATGAAATATACACTAATAAATTCAACATTTTTTGTCCAATTTCAAAACTTGTTTTGAATTAGTGAGGTCTTGAATAGTTTGACCTCCTCCAAAAACCAAAAAAAAATAGAACAAAATCTTCAAAAATCAAGCTGTTTTTTCCAAACTCTGTAAAAATGGAATATATACTAATAAATTCAATATATTTTGTCTAATTTCAAATTTTTTTTTTGCATTAGTTAGGTATTGAATAGTTTGACCTCCTCAAAAAAAATTAGTGCTAAATCTTCAAAGATGTGGCCGTAATTAGCAAATGTTCTCTAATTTACTGGTTTTAACCAAACGTTGTAAAAATAGAATATATACTAATGAATTCAACATTTTTTATCCAATTTCAAATTTTTTTTTGCATTACTTCGGTATTGAATACTTTGCCCTCCTCAAAAAGAAATTAGTTCCAAAATCTTTAAAAAGTGTAACCAACCAACTTAAGAAAGCTGTGCAACCGACCTACAGTAGGTCGGATACACTAACTTTTTTTCAATGAAGTGTGTATCCGACCTACAGTACATTGGACTAACAACAGCTTGAAGCTGCTAAAAAACCACGTGCGAGTACGTCCGAAGTATTGTTGGACGGATGTAACGTTGGGCGGATGTAGTACAATCTTTGTGATTAGATATTAGATGTATTTCAGGGGACATTAGTTCCAAAACTAACACTTGGCCCATTTCTAACACTGAGTGTTAGAAATAGGCACAAATTGAAAGACTAGGTTTTTGGGATCCCGGCCCATATCCAGAGTAAACGTCAATAATAAAAACTGTGAACAATATTTTATTTAACATGACGAGGACAACAATTCCCAATTTGAAACTTTTTTTAAAATCAAAATTATAATATGAGTTCTATTTATATTAATCCTTTTGACCATTTTCGAGACAATGTCAGGTTTTCTATTTTCGAACATATCCTGAATTTGAAATTGTCGTGTTTTCCAGATGAAACCCACTTTCCCGTTTTTGAGTATAATCCGCAATGCAAAACAAATCTCACTTTCATAACTTACAAAATAAATCATTGAAAACAAAAATGATCTAAAGAAGACTAAATTAACTTGTGAATTATTTCTAGAATCTAAGTTTCCACATTTTGTCTGTTGAATAAAAGAATATCGAGGATTTATTTTCAAGCATTTTAAACAAACAGATTTCCGCATTCCTAGTTAAATCTATATTGTGTAAGAACAATTGATATTAATATTTTGATTTCTCAATGCTGTAATGATTTTTAAATTATAAAATAACAGTTTGTTTTTATTTTCTGTTTTGTTTCTATTTTACCTTATCAAAAAATCTTGTTTTTTTACGTAAGTGCCTGATTGCTTAAAAATTGACATTGATATGAACTCCGGTAATTGTCTCAAAACCAGGATATGTTCCGAAAACGCGATATGAGCTNGAGTCCGAATTTAAATCTCAAATCCGCCAAAAACTGTTTTAAATCCGGTAATTGTTTCAAAATAGGGATAGGTTCGAAAATTAAATCAAGAATCATCAAAAAGCAATTCTCACACCTTATTATTAGTTTAAAATTGATATTTATTGTTTTAATATACAGTTTTAGCCATTTTTTATAAACATATGGTGTAATTTTATTCTGCTCGTCTTGCATTTAAAGTTATATACTCTTGAAAAAGATAACTTTGCAGATTTGGCCCATTTCTAACGCTCAGTGTTAGAAATGGACCAAGTGTTAGTTTTGGACCTAACATCCCCTGTACTAGCGAAGAAACAACTAAAATATTGCGGAATAAAGCAAGAGAAATATGGGTGATTAAAGAAATGTAGACATGCTTACGGTTCGGTTCAACGAATCTTTGACAGCAATGCTGTACAAACTGGGGTTTTCAAACATCCAGATTTGATCAGTTTGAAACTATCTCCTGGCAATTGACTTGTCTTATATAGATAATGAAAACCTTGTATCACGGTCTTCTGTTTGATTGTACGCGTTTTTTTTGCAAATTATTTATTTAAAATTTCTGCAGAATGAACTGTGTACTTTAGTTTCACACGGAATCTACTAATTTTACCAAGTACATTTGTAATATGTCTTGAACCAAAACATAACCAGACCACATTAGTTAACTCTAGCAGACGAACAATTCTACGGGATTACAGCTTTCATATAAGTAGGCATCACTATACTAAATCAAATCTTTTACAAGGCCGATTGCGAATTTGTCACTGAATTCCCATGTTTAATGGGACACCCTGTAGATTAACTATTAAAGAAACTAACATTTAAGATCTAATTAAACTCAAGAAACTAACTGTAGTCAAAAACTAAATAAATTAAGATCTAACAGTTTTGAAGAAACTAACAAGCTAAAATGTATCCGTAGTCAAGAAACTAAAAGACTAAGATCTAACTGTATTTTTGAAGATCTAACTGTAATTAAGAACCTTGAAAACTAGAATCTAACTGCAGTCAAGAAACTAAAAAACTAAGATCTAACTGTAAGCAAGAAACTAAGACACTTAATTATTAAAGATCTAATTGTAATGAAACAACTAAGATATAACTGTAGTCAAGAAACTAAAGATACTATTATTAAAGATCTAACTGTAATCAAGAAACTANTCTTCCTGGCAAAACTACTTTTTTAAATGGTATATTTAGGGCCTTTAATGTGCGATTTTCAAAAATTCAGCCGCGTTAAGCAAAAGCACAACATAAACCATTTTTTCAATTCTAGATTTTAGTAGGTAAACTAAGTCGTTTTTCGTATTGTGAGAGCAGAGAAAAATTATTCAGAGTAGTCTAAAGAATAAGAAAAAATTTAAAAAATCACAATATATACTGTTATTACTTACGCAATACAGACTTTATAAAAAACTGTTTTTTAGCAATTTTCACATAACACATTTGCACACTTTCACAAAGGGTACCCTTCCAAACTAAATCCAAACTAAAGTGTATTTTATGGCAAGTCATTTTTAATATTCACATTGCTCTCAAAAATAAACCATTTATGAAAATCAGAATTTACATTTTAAAAAAGTTTCAGTTTTCATTAAGAGGAATCATCCTTTTTTCATATTAATACTTAAATATAAAGATTTATATAGATATTTTTGTGACGCGGCTGGATTTTTAAAAATCACACTTTAAAGGCCCCAAATAGTAGTTTTGTCTGGAAGAGTCCAATGTGGTGTCCCGGAAGAGAAAAGTGGTGGCTCATGGTGCCGGAAGAGAAAAAAGCTTATGTGGCACGGAAGGGGAAATAGTGGTGGCTCATGGCTGCCTGCTTAACCCCCCCCCCCTCGTGATTCAGGTATTCTAGAAATACTTTGTATACTCCAGGTATGCTAAGGTATACCTTGTATACTCCAAGTATATGCTAAGGTATACCTTGTATACTCCAGGTATTCTAGTGTATACCTTGTATGCTCCAGGTATATGCTATTGTATACCTTGTATGCTCCAGGTATGCTAGTGTGTGTATACCTTGTATGCTCCAGGTATATGCTAAGGTATACCTTGTATACTTCAGGTATTCTAGTGTATACCTTGTATCCTCCAGGTATGTTAAGGTATAGTACATCAATGAGTTCTTATTTGCTCTCTGCACTACATCAGTTGACTTGTTCAGGGTACACAAACACTGCCACTAAATTATTATTAATTAATTGACAGGAATTTGTCATAAAAAGTTTGGTATGTTTGGCTGCGAAACAATTTGAGAAGTAATACATGCATCTTCAAAACTGTAAGGTTTTCAGCTTAGCCATGTTTTATTCCTTCACAAGTGTCAGGGGTCGACTGTGTGGGAATGTAAAAAATCTTATTAATTTACCAAATTAAACAACTGTACGTTTAGACACTTGATGACATTTCTTATAGAGAGGAGCAAGCCCTATTCACAGCAGTAACCTTTTAGAGTGGAGCAAGCCCTATTCACAACAGTACCCTTTTAGAGAGGAGCAAGCCCTATTGTAGTCAAGANAGCCATGAAATGAATAATATATTCTGATTTTTTATTGAAGCTTAGTCAGCACTATATTAAGCTTCAATCAGCTTGTCAAGTCAGACATTCTTGAGTTAAACAACAAAACTGAAAACTAATACAATGGTGCAGAGTGTTCCAATAAATACTGGTTTCAAGAAATATTTATTTTCTTTCAAAATTATCAGAATCAGGGACAGTCAACAGAACTTCAGAAGGAAAAGAAAAAAGGAAGAAGGAGAGAAACGATGCCAAGAAGAAAAATCAAATCAGAATTTATCTGTATCAACTGTATCCAATTTTATAAGATTAAAAGTTCAAAAATAATAAATTGTTTTTAAGTCCTAATTTTTTCATCGCGATTTTCATAAATTTATTTTACAAATATTTTTTCTTCTTCAAAGCACGTGATACCATTTAAATAATTATTGAATCTATAAAAAAAAATATCTTCAATATTATTGATCAGATAAAGTTTTCTAGGGTACCGTTGTGAATTAGGCATTGCAGTCTTTGCTTGGAGGGTAACTTATATTTACTCTTACACTCATCCTTTTAATCAACCTACCCAATCTCACATTGTAACTCCTAAATAACTTACCAGTAAAGTTTTAGAACTAGTGCCAGATAATACTTCCATTTTTCTGCTCTGTAGATCTAGGGTACTCAGTAGTCCAGATAGTACTAACCGTAGTCGGTCCAAATCTTGTTAGTAAACAACAAAATATTATGTACTGCAATTCAGATAAAACAGGAGCGATTCATTAACAAACTTCGATTAATATTATTTTTATTAATTTAAAATAATAAAGGGAAGAAATGAGTTATAAGAATTGAGAATAATAGATATGAATAAAAGAAGGGGTTGGGCATCGTTGATAACGATAGTTTTTGTTTCGATCACTTAACCCAAGGTACTAATGCAAGGAAACTTATTTTAGTGGTGTACGCATTTTTTGTACTGCAATGTACTGTCTTTGAGCGGAAAAGAAAAAACAAGACGGATGGCACAGCCTGACATGGAATCCATTTTCACAAAAATAAACTATGAAATATTCTGGTTATAGAAAATTATTATGTGATGTTTCAAAATTATTAAAATTAAATGCTTTTAACCGCCTCGGATACTAAACGAACACTAATGCATCTATATTCTTGTTTACAAAGTCCGCCCAAAGAGAACTGGTTTCAATATGTACGCAGAGAATCCGCAACAGCAATTAACTTTCCTTGCATTAGTACCTTGACTTAACCGATCACTATAATAGTGTTCTAAACGAAGGGGTTAAATCTTACGAACTTTAGTTTTGAACTTTTGAAAAGCGAAAAACGAAACGGCCATATCTTTTTTTCTCATTTTGTAGATATTTTAGAAAGTAAGTTTAACTTTTAAAAGATTTGAATTTAAACAAATTACGTGAATTACGTAGTAAGTTTATAAATGTATGTGTTTTACCTTTTGGATGAAAAACCGGGGAAACATCTTCTTTAATTGTGTTTACAAATATATCCTAAACAAAGGCGCAGCCATAAAAGGGGGGGAGTATAATATAAAACCTTTTACCTTTCGCTTACTGTTACTATTCGTTCAGCTTTGCAGTCTAACCCCGTAAACTGAAGAATCCAAAAAAAATAACTTAATTTTTTACAGATTGTGGCCCCCCCTCTATTCAAAACATCTTAAGTTGCGCCTATGATCCTGGAAAGTGCGAGCAAACATTAATTCACTCTCTTCTCTTCTCTTCATTCCTATTCCAGGACCTGTTAGCAACTAAATCAAGAAAATATTGAACTATTGACTTTATGGCTTCTTTAGTCTGATTATAATGATATTTGACATTAATTCACAGATAAAAACTAAAAATCCGCGAAATGATATAACTGCTCTTGGAATGTACAAAAAAGGGCTAAAATAATTTTTTGACAAGGGAGGTAGGTGCCCAGCTGATATTTTGAAGTCATACATTTTCAGAGAAAAAAAAACTTAGATATCTTTTTATAATTACATAAATACTTTGATACAGCCATAGAGAATAGAATATATATTAGAGGGGAATTTAGAGAATCTCTCGGTATGAATTTTTTAGTCCCTTTCAGCCATAGAGAATAGAATATATATTAGAGAGGAATTTAAAGAATCTCTCGGTATGAATTTTTTCAGTCCCTTTCAGCCTGAAAGGGAGTTCAAAGTGTACAAATCATGTAAATGTTCACAAATTATGTGCAGTAGAGTACATTAATACAGTATGTTCCCTAGACTATTCATTTCAATTTCTAATATTTAAAGCTGTTAAATAAACTTTATAATGAATTAGGTGAATAAAACCCATCATTTTATTTATAGGTATAACGGAAAATCATCGTTTGTAAAGTGAAAGGCATAGAGTCTATGTGAAATGATCATTGGTCAATTATGAAACCAGCCTATTTCATAATTTGGTTTTCTTTTAACATTAATTTTAGATTTTCTATAAAATTATGTTCCAGGGCCCAAAAGGTAATATAGCACAAATATGTGAAGTACACCTGCAGTATGGAAACAGTACAACAAAATGGCCGTTTTATACTTTTTTCTAGTAAATTCCACTCTAATATACCTTCAATTCTCTTTGCTTTCAGCCTGAAAGGGAGTTCAAAGTGTACAAATCATGTAAATGTTCACAAATTATATGCAGTAGAGTACATTAATACAGTATGTTCCCTAGACTATTCATTTCAATTTCTAATATTTTAAAGCTGTTAAATAAACTTTATAATGAATTAGGTGAATAAAACCCATCATTTTATTTATAGGTATAACGGAAAATCATCGTTTGTAAAGTGAAAGGCATAGAGTCTATGTGAAATGATCATTGGTCAATTATGAAACCAGCCTATTTCATAATTTGGTTTTCTTTTAACATTAATTTTAGATTTTCTATAAAATGATGTTTCAGGACTCAAAAGGTTACATAAGCACAAATATGTGAAGTACACCTGCAGTATGGAAACAGTACAACAAAATGGCCGTTTTACACTTTTTTTCTGGTAAATTCCCCTCTAATATATATTCTATTCTCTTTGGATACAGCATGTCGTAAATTTGCTATATTTAAACCCCCTCTTCTATCCCAAAAAGAGAAATGGGGGAGGGGTTAAAAACTCTACATAAGAGAAAAAGAAATGTAGAAAAACTAAAAAAATCAATTAACTAAATGAATTAGGTAATGTAACAAGTTACTTCCTGAAATCAAGGGATGTAAGGACAGAGATCAGGGACAGAAGGGAATCAGTGTTAAAGGTAAAGATCATGTAGTGACATACAGTACATCGGATAAATGAGAGTTGCGGCATCTGTGTATATTTAGTGTACACAGATCTGGGGTATGTAAAACAGTAGACAGTTTTTCTTTACCATAGCATGAAAGATTTGTTGTATAAAACTGCAAATTGAGAAGTTATACGAATATCAGTAAACTTGAAAAATTATCCGCTGAGCAAAACAATACTTCTCCAAAGCATAAGAGCTGATACCAAGGTAAAATATGAATTTTATTTTAAATAATTTACAATTTTAAAGTTTTGAAAAATCAACGTTTCTGCAACAGAGCTAGACTATCCCTCCACGGCATATGTCATTTGTAAAAATATTTTTTTATAAGAAGGATGGAAAGCTAGATCAACCAACGCATATTTTGTTTTATAGACTGTAACAAAACATAATCTTAAACTTGTTTAGGTTTCATGATGCCGGGTCTGTCAGGAGATTTATGTACTGCATAAGTGAAGAAAATCAGGAAAATCATGAAGAAGAATTCTTTGAGTAAAGAAAAAATGGAGTTGCGGAGTACTTAACAATAATTAGAAACCTAATTAAAATATTGTTTTTTTTTATTAAAAAATGGGTAAGCCCACCATGTTGTACATTCTTTATAAAATTATTCTTACAGCTTCGTAAGGTTTAGAATTTGTTTCTTTCTAGATGGATAATGTATAAAGATTTTAGATATTTGTTTACCATTCAATTTAACTGCATGTGTCTAGTACTCTCCGTTTAGTTAACAAATAAGCTTTTTAAAGTAAAAAGAAATTAAAACATGGCTATTCTTACTGTTTTTGCCCTATAATTTTCCGTTTTTTGGCCTCACTTATCACATGAACAGAGGCATATTGGATGTTTAATTTTTATCATGCATATAACAGTTTTTTTGAGTAAAATTCTCAATTTGGAACACAAAAAAATATTTTGAAAAAACTTTTGGAATGATAATGGATTTTTTGAAAATTCAAAAACTTATCGTGTTTATCGTTATAAATTTTATTGACCCTTCATTTAAAGAGGGATGTGCCCGACTCACAACTGTACTCTTTAAACCTTTATCTGATCAATAATTTGGAAGATGTCGTCGTTTTGCTAACCTGTAAAGTGTTTGAATTCGGGTCATTTTTGCCAGTCCCTTTTACTTTTAAAGTTAAAAATATGGATATCTTACTCATTTTTTTTAAATATTACAAAGCTTATAGGGGACCTCTATGAACTAAATATTACGTCTACAGTTCCTTTAGGGACCATGGACAAAAGCTAAAAACTATTCTCTAAATTTTGATTCATAATCAAAATAACGTCCACAAAAATTGCCTTTTGTGTATATGTTGACCTTTTCGTCAAATTTTGAGGGGACTATACAGCCTATCAGCATTCTATACTCTAACCTTTCTCCGCCTGAAATAAATGAGACGAGGCAAGAAGTTTTTGTTTTTGATACTTTAAATTATGTTTCTTTTTTTCTTCCATTGACCGAGGGTATTTATTTTTTGTATTTACATATATTAAAAAAAAATTGCAAAAAGAATTAATTATCAAACTTTTAGTGTAATATGAAATTATTTTTTTTCAGATTTTTAACTTGTTTTAAGTTTTGTTTTTAGTTAAAAAAATTTATGTTGCCTTATGATTTTTTAACATTTTAAAAATGATTTTCTACGGGGTTTCCTTTTCTTGTCAAAATCTCAATTTTTAGAAATAATTCTGATTTTTTTTATACCAGGAAAACCAGAAAACTATGGAATATGAAGACGACATTAAAACAATCTTTAAGCGTTTTTGATGGAGTTACAAAGCTAATAGCTTTACCAGTTGTAGCTTTAAAATTTCTAATTATGTGAAATGGGTTGTGTACACTGCACAGTTGCTGTGTGTTATGATTATTGGACTATTCAAGATCATAACTTGAGTCTAAAAGTCGTCTTCCTATTCCACAATTTTCTGGTAATCACTGAATATTATAAATTAATTATTCCTATTGTTTTACTTGTATATATTCCATTACAGTATAAATAAAATCTAACATTTGTCTTACAAATTATTTATTTTCTTATATAAAAATAGTTTAAACCCACTGTAATATACATTATTTAGAATAAATACATAATCACAATATTAATATTTGTTAAAAAGCTCTACGCTACGAGAAAAGAAATATCTCTTCCTTGTTATTTAAACATTTTTTAGATAATTATTTACACACAAACAATGAGCGTGTATGTGTGTAATACAGAAACATCATTTGTTATATTGGAACTACGATTGTAGTTTCAAGTCACACTTTCTTATTAGGGGGCATTGCCGATTCACAGCGGTACCTTATAAACCTTCATCTCATCAGTAAAGTAGAAGCTTTTCTTGCTTTAAGGTTTTTACACTCGGTAAAAAAAAGAACCAATAACTGAAAATTATCAAAATGATCAAGTCATAAATATCTTATTTGAAGGGTACAGTTGTGAATTGAACATGCCACTCTAGAGATGGCCGGAGCTAGGTCAGTTGAAATTTCGTCTACAGTCTCTTTATTCGTATTTTATTCTGAAGTACTTTTTTGTGCGGCTTTCTTTTTTATCAATACAAATTGATAATCTACATTGGGGCCTTAAAGTCAATTTAAATTTTGATTAAGCACGTGTTTAACTTTGTTTACATTGATTGATAAAATATAGGACTTAAAGGAAATGGAAAAACGGTTTATTTGCATTCTACAATGACGTATTAAGATTGATTTTTTAAACAAACAACTTTTTGTAAACAATGATTACTCAGGCCCGGCCCTACCGTACTGCACTGCCCGGGAATAACGAGTTTTGTTTTACAATTATTGTCTTTATTTTCAGTAAAACTAGTTTCTGAGCTGTCCTCATACGTCACAAAAAAATGTAAACAACTCCTGTTCTGTATCCTTATTTCTACTATCGTTAGCATTGATTGTACTTGGACGGGTTGTGTACTGTTCAGTACATATGGGGTCAATATAATCTTGTTTAACCAGTAACCAATTGCAGGCATGTGTTCGAAACTATCTGGCTTATGATTGGTCCTAATTTTGAACAATCTGACCAATTAAAGACGTTTATCGTAAACTTTTTATTCAATAACAGACCTTCATCAGAATCTATTAAACCAATGAGAGCCCTTTGTGAATGACCAATCAGAATTATGGT